AGTTTCTGACTGCCGGTACTTCACTGCCTCAGTTTCCCCACCTGTAAGATGGGGACAGTTCGTCCCGCAGTGTGTAGTCAGGCACTGAGGAAGAGCCGCTCGTTTATTCCGCAAGCGTTCACTGAGCGCCTGCTGTGAATTATGCCGCTTCCCCCACCTCCCTGTCAGCAAGTCTCCACTGTTCAGCCCCGTTTACAGCTGAGGAAACTGAGGCATAGTTTGGAAGGCCACTCACCTAAAGCCTCCTGAGGTCGCAGAAGCGCAAAACAGGCTCCTATGTTGCTAAGGAGGCTGATGTGGCCCCAGAGACCTCAGCCTCCCCTCCTTCCATCTCCCCAATACTCAGCTGCTCTAACCCCAGCAGCCCTCCAAGGGCCTAACACAGTCCCACCTCAGGGCCTTTGCACTTGCTGTTCCCTCTGCCTGGAACATGCTCTGCAGTTACCGGCTTCTACAGGGCTCAGCTGGAACATCACCTCCTCCTAGGGGTCCAACTCACCCTGGCCCAAATCTCCACCCCAACTCACTACGCCAGTAGTTCCATCCCATTTCCTTGTTTCCTCCTCTTCATAGTTGCAATCACATTCAGAAATCATTCCTTTATAGGCGCTGCTTTTCTAATTTCTTTCCCATTTCCTGCCCTGACTTGCGGGCCAGGGGCATGTCTCCATTAGAGCCATGTGCCTGGCACACAACAGGTCCCCAACCAACGTTTAGCAGAGGCCAGAATTCCTCCAAAAATAGCCAGAAAAATTAAGCTGAGTTTCTGGCTACATCATTAGAAACTGGGCTGGACCTTGGACTTGGGTCACTGACATCTCATTCCAAGCAGCCTTGGCCCTGGATTAGCCAGGGTGCTGACCAAGGACTGTCTGCCTCTGGCCCAGGCCTCAGAATACCCAGGGCAGTGTCTCCGGACTGCCGGGAGCCTTGTTTGCGAGCTCAGACCAGAGGTCACACACTCAGCAGCTATTTTGGTCTCTGGCAGCTTCAGGTAGAATTCAGAAAATCTGAGATCCTGCCTGGGCCGGTTGTGGGATTGAGACCTCTGCCAAGTGGAAGAAGAGAACAGAACAAAAATCTCACCAAGAATCAGGTTTTATAACTCACACATGTAGTAAGTGTCTGGTACTAAGTGCCAGTGTTGCTGCTAAAAGCCGGGGATATGGAGACAGGCAAACCACAGCAGGTTTCATTCCCCTCAACACACTGGGGGAAAAAAAGAGGAAACTGATGACACTCAGAGTTAGTGGTGATGGGAGAAACTGAGTCACATGCTATTGCTGTGAGTGACTGGGGGTAAAGGCTTGTGTTCCCTGGACACAGACCCTGTTTAAGCACATCACTTTTCAAATGTGCTCTCTTTTTTAACATCACAAACCCTTGGAGGGAGGAACTATTCTTATCCCATTTTGCAAGTGAGGAAACAGACCCAGAGCAGCTAAGCCACTCGTCCCAAGTCACACATGGAAGGGGCTGGGATTTGGATCAGGAATAAGTGGGTGAGTCCTTAGCAGAGGACAAATGGGGCCGAAGAAGCCTGGCTGGAGGGACTGAGATATGTGTTCACAATCCAACTCTGCAGTAGTGTAACCAGCAGCACACGCCTGTGAGAGGTTAGGTGAAGGGATGGGGAGGGATGGAGCGCCCTTTCTTAAAAAAGCAAGATGGTTACATTGGAAAGCCAAAGACAATAAAGTGGGGCAGCTACTGTGGATAAGTTTGGCAGAAGTTAAATGTAGTTACCATAGGCCCCAGCAGTTCCACTCTTAGGGACAAACCCAAAATAATTAAAAATAGATGTTCAAATCCTGTAGGTGAAAGTTCATGACCGTACAATTCACAATCGCCAAAAGGTAGAAAAGGAAACAAATGTTTATCCATAGATGAATAGATAAACAAATTGTGGCCCATCCACACAGTGGAATGT